ATAGGAAAAATAGTTATGATTATCCAAAATTCATGAAAATTTACCAGAACATCATGTTGTATAGTAGGAGGTTATATAAAAACTTTGAGGATTTTTCTCCACTGTAAACTATTTTTCTCTTAATTTATAAAGTTAATTACACTTAAATTAACATAAATACCCAAAATCAGATTATACAATATGAAAACCACTTTTGACATTTTTGTCAGGTTATTTATATTGTAAATGATGTTACAAAAATTCTTGGTAATTTATTTTAACTGTTTAATATTATTTCTTCAATTAATGATTATTTAAAGGAATAAAACAAGGAAAAATAGAAATACCCATTGAAAAATATCTTTTATATTTTTCCCAGCCTATTTATGTACAATAACAGTCAATTAAAAAGTTTGGGTAATTTTGGAAATTGTTTTCTATTTATTTCAATTTTTATTGGAATAAATGCTCAAAAATCATAAAATATAATTAAACAACTTGGAAATCCATTTTTATAATTTTGCCAGCTTAGTATTGTGTAATAGCAGTTAAATAAAAAGTTTGAGAATTTTTTTCCTTTGAATGCTATTTTTCGTGAATTAATGTTGTTAAGAAAACTTAAAAATTTGAAAAATAATTAACCATATTAAAAATTCAAGGAAAATTTTCCAGGAAAACCTCTATTGTATTTACAATGAAAATACAAGGTTTGACAGTTTTTGGAAACTGTTTGATAATATTTTATATTTTTTTAGGAATATAAAACACTTTTAAATGTGTAGAAATACCTTTAATTTATATTACTAAATCTGGTAAATTAATATTCCAAAGTTGTAATTAATCGCACGACTTGTAGAATTTCATTATTTCAGAAAAAGTGTAACCAATTAATATAAAATTCAATACTAAAACATAAATTGACATTTCACTATATGTAGAGTTTAGTATATTAGCACTAGATTTCGACATGGAAACTCATTAGTGTGTGTTTGATGTCGTAGGATCCCGGTAGTAAGATGTTGGTACATTCCGAGACACTACTTGTATTTACTCGAAACATTGTGAGTATTCATGCACTCCACTATTTTCGGTTTTTATGTTTTGGGGTGGAAAAGCATGTCCAGAAAAACTACTGTTTGCATGTTGTATTTAAATTGAATTGTATCAAACATGATTGCTATTGTATTGCTATGTTTCTTTATGTATGTCTATGCAACACGGAATATGAGAACTTATCGTACTAAGGCCCTTCCCTTATCTCTAACCATTAACTCTTTGAGCCAATGGTCATTATGGATAGCGCTATTAGGAATTGACAACTCCTCACTCGCCCGAATCGCTGGAGTGCATGATACCATATTCATCTATGGAACGATAAGCATAGATCTTGATAGGGCTTCAGTCATAGGTTTGGTTGAGACTCATTGTTTGCGCATACACATACAAAAACTCGTTCTCGTTATAGCAATAAACTTGTACTCATTAATAGCAATCAACTTTGTTTATCATTAAAGCAATGTACTTGTATTTACAAAAAGCCTTATTTCAAGCTCGATTTTATAAACTTGTGAACTCACCAACTATTTTCATAGTTGATGCTCGTTTTACATGCTTTTTCAGGAAATAATTAGTAAGTGGATATAAAGATTCATCATCATAGAGCATGCTGCATCATGTTGAAGTTATTTGTGGAGTTTTCTTTGAAAAATGTTATTTTGGAAAAACTTGTATTTTGTTTCTTTTGAAGCTATGGGTTGTAAACTTTTAAATACTGCTATGGTGATGTATCATTATCTTTTGCAATGAAACCGTTATCGCTGTCATACCTTGCGTTTTCGCTTTAGCGGGGTGTGACATTGTCCCATACAAATAGTGTCTCCAAATGTTTAAAGCGAACACTACTGCAGCCAACTCCATATCATGTGTTGGGTATTTACGCACGTGAACCTTTAACTGTCGTGAGGCATAAGCAATCACCTTACCGTTTTGCATCAAAACACACCCCAAGCCTAACTTGGATGCATCACTATAAACAACAAAGCCATCATTGCCTTCTGGTAAAGATAATATTGGTGTACTGCTAAGCTTTTCCTTTAAGACATTAAAGGCATTATCTTGCTCTGGCTTCCATTTGAACTTCACATTTTTCCTTGTCAGGGTAGTTAGCGGTGCAACTATGCGCGAGAAGTCTTGTATACACCTTCGATAGTATCCTGCCAACCAAAGAAAACTTCGAACTTCTGATGGGGTTCTTGGTGGTTCCCATTTTTCAATCGCCTCAATCTTTGTTGGGTCCACCTTAATACCATGTTCGTTTAAAACATGTCCCAAAAACTGGACTTCCCGAAGCCAAAACTCGCACTTTGAAAATTTGGCAAAAAGTTTTTCTTTCCTCAATAAACTAAGTGTTAGCCGCAGATGTTGCTCATGATCTGCCTTACTTTTAGAGTATATCAATATGTCATCGATAAATACAATTACAAACTTGTGTAGGTATGGCTTGCACACCTGCTTATCAGATCCATGAATGCAGCTGGTGCATTGGTCAAACCAAATGGCATTACTAGGAACTCGTAATGACCATACCTAGTTCGAAAGGCTGTCTTTGACACATCTTCTTCCTTGACTTTCAGTTGGTGATACCCCGACCGCAAATCAATCTTTGAGAAGTAACTTGCCCCCTGAAGCTGATCGAATAAATCATCAATTCTCGGTAACGAATACCGGTTCTTTATAGTCACCTTGTTTAACTCCCTGTAGTTGATGCACATTCGCATTGTCCCATCCTTCTTCTTGACGAACAGTACTGGTGCACCCCACGGTGAGGTACTGGGCCGAATGAAACCCTTGTCGAGCAAATCTTGCAACTGAGCCATCAACTCCTTCATTTCGGTTGGTGCTAACTGATAGGGCGCACGAGCTATCGGTGCTACTCCTGGGGTAAGATTGATTAAAAACTCCACATCTTAGAACCTGCGTATAACTGATATATGTGTTATATCAGGTTTGTCCTGCTTGGCATCGAGAACATATGCCCAATAACTTTGACACTGTTTCTTTAGATAACGAGTTGCCATAGTCACTGATATAAAAAATAGAGTCCTTAACTCGCCGATCACCGTAAATCTTTACCATTCCTTTTTCTGGCACCCAAACTTGAACAATCCTATTTTCACAATCTATAATCACTTGGTTTTTCGACAAACAATCCATCCCTATAACAATATCAAAATCACCTAGGGCTATAGTTAATAATTTGAACGGTAGAACACTACCTTCTATTTCGATAGAGCAATCATCATATTCCTCTCTTACTACTACCCAATGATCGTGAGCAGTTTCAATTTCTAAGGCATGTTCTAGAGTCTTTGCATTTCTACCTAGGTTTTTGCAAAAAGTAGTAGACACAAAAGATCTATTTGCACCAGAATCAAATAACAACCTAGCATGAATTGAGTTTACTAGGAAAGTACCTATCACCACATCCAGGGTTTCCTGAGCCTCCTGAGCCGTCATGCGAAAAGCTCTAGCTTTTGGTCTACCAGTATCAACCTTTTTATCCGCCGACCGATTTCCTGTTATCCTGCCTTGATTGTTGTTACCTTTACTCTGGGGACATTCCGACTTAATGTAATTAGGGGAACCACACCCGTAACATACCCTTCCTGTCTTACATTCTGTGGCTATGTGCCCTGGCTTCCCACACTTGTAGCAAACTTTCTGATTCATGTTACACTCCCCCTTATGATAACGGTTGCATTTTGGACATTGCTTTACTCCAGAGCTTTGATCAACCTTACGTTCTTGCCCTAAAGTCTTTCCTTTCTTCGAATCATTATTCGTACCATCCCGTTTTCTTTTCCCCCAAACCCTGTCTTCACCTTGACAATTCTTCTCACATTCGCGACCTTCTGCAGCATCAACAGCAGACTGGAAAGTACCCGGTTTTTGAATTTGCACAAATTCACGGATAGCTGTTCTCAATCCCCATATATATCGTTCCACCCTTCTTTCTTCTGCAGAAACATAAAATTCGGTAAACCTAGCTTTCTCCGTGAACTTAGTGGTGTACTCTCGCACAGTCATATTCCCCTGTTACAACCTCAAGAATTCTTCCTCCAACTGTTTAACCATTGTACGAGTGCAAAACTATTCTTTAAAAATACTTAGGAACTCATCCCATGACATATTCTTGGCCGCCTCACGCCCCTAACCTCCTTCACCATGCCCCACCAATGTATTGCCTCCACTTTTAGCATCCTCATCCGCACACTTGCTAGTATCGAACGTTCCCTCAATCTCCATGATCCATGTTGATGAAAAAACAGGATCAATTTCTCCGTTAAAAATGGGTGGCTTTCAGTTCATGAACATCTTGTAACTACAACCCCACCGATCGTGGTTGCCATGATGCCTTGTAGGTTGTGCAATACTTGGTTCATGACTCATATTTGGTGTACTGTACTCGTAGTCCTCTTCACCTCCACCCAAGTTACCTTCATACTCACCCATTATTTCTTCTCGTGCCTGAGCAACTACATCTGGTAAGGTGTCTCGAATTGTTCGAGCAATCTCATCAGCCAACTCTTCTCTAGTGATCGTGTTTGCCGCACGACCCCTTCCACGACCTCGACCGCGGTGGGATCCAGAGCTACCATTGGCCGATTGTACACGTATTGGTGCTGTAACAGCCCCTCGGCCTCTTCCTCTACCCCTACCTCTTCCTTGGCCCCGTCCACGACTAGCGTTTGGGTTCAGTGGGGTTTCTGGAACATCTTCTGGTGCTCTAACATAAGCTCCAATTGGGATGCGTTCTTCCTCCGGAGTGACCCTAGTGAACCTCCCAGATCTTTGTGAAGACATATAAACTACATATTTATGTTTATAACACAATAAGTATAACAAACATAAATTTTAATCCAAATTATTAAAACTTCAAAAATAGACATATGTCTTGTTCACATCAAGTCACTTAAGCCAACAACCAAGAGAAAAAAAACAAATCATTGCACTCCTACTTTCTACTTTGTAAAAACGATGTCATCATATTTCAAGATTTGCTTTCCCTCCTTCAAGTACTTCCTTATTTTTTTGGCTTTGCGATCTCCGGGACCACTTTGAATGACCAGCACCTCGGCATGAGGTGGGTCTCTTCCAACCACCTTATCTAGGAATCCGTAAGTCGCGGCCTTGGCTTGTTTTTCCCGGGCCACAAACGCTTGCCACAACTTAGCGATACTGGGTTTCCTTAGCTCCAACACCTCTTGTTCCAACCTTCGTATCTTGTGCTTACTTTTCTCAGCGGCCTCAACACGTATTTGGCTCTCTTGTATGAGCCTTGACCTCTAATCATCTATCTCTTCAATCTTTCTTTTCTAACTATGAATCTTGAGTTGTGCCTGTGGCATTTCATCTTTATAAAGTCGCTCCCAATAGGTACCAGGACTAGTTGGCGTGTACTCCACATAGGGCATATGGAACATTTCTTATCTTTGTTCCACATGGTACTCCACGTGATTTCCCTCGGGTTCCTCCTCGGGGTCTTCTTCGGGTTCCTCATCAGGGTCTTCTTCGGGCTCCTCCTCTGGATCTTCTTTGGGCTCCACCTTGGATTCCACATCCTCATCTTCTTCATCACGTTCAGAGAGGCTGAGTGGAGTCGTTGGTTCCAGAATGCCTTCCGAATCAGAGAGCTCTAACTCGGCCTTCAACTTCTCGTGCGGGAAGTAACCCACTAGTACCCTCAACTGACACCCCACCATCAACTATTGCCTTTCCATGATCCATAATACCTACAAACGAGATGCATTCCAGATTAGGCGATGTACCGCTACTCCCGTTTAAGCTTAGGCGTTTAAATAACGACTAATCTACTTAAACCTGGCTCTGATACCAACTTGTAACGCCCCAAATTTCAACTATAAATATAACTTAACATAGTCCCAAAACATCCACAAATCAAGATTTAAATACTAATGTAATTATTAATAATAATAGCGTAAGCGAATAGAAATTTAATTAAGCACTGGGTGTGCTATGTCTTCCTCAAAACTTGTCGCCTTCTTCAAGTCTAAACTTTATCCTTTCCATTCCCGCTGCCACTTGCTACGTTATTTCCTGGGTTGCATGCATCTAAAGATTCTAATAGGTAAGAGTAGGGCCTAGTGAGTTCGTGGTTTTCATGCATATTGACGTCAATAAAATAAAAATAATGCAACAATTTATCAATATAACTCTTTTCATTTCTTTCCACCCAACTACTCTCATTTTCAGGGAACAAGTCCCTCCGCCGGGCACAACAAATATGCTTACGGCTAGATAAACAGAGCGTAAGCTCTCTGCCGCGTACTAACACCCTGTATGACGACTAATAATAAGACCGTGTAAATATACCTGTTCCCTATGATTCACCCACCATTTTCACCCTTTTATATGAAATAAATCACAAAATTTCACACAAATACTCATAGCAATAACAACATTAACATATAATTTCAAATAATTTAGAATCAACTTTTCATGCAAGCAACCACAAAATTCACACGAAACTCATATTGTTGGCGTTTAGGTCTTAACCAAAGCTTGACACGCTACAAGCACCATACATTCCACCAACAAATTTTCCTAAGGCGACAATCCTAGAAAAACATCCTATGCGATCATTTTGGTTCAACTGTCTACATATCTCACGCAACCAACTATTAGAAACGATAATTGTTGATTACGATTTTATTTTGTAATATATTTTGCAATACTTTTTTTTTTGAAATAATACTTTAATGAGAAAATGACCCCAAACAAAACTAGAATGTTTTTATGGCACCATTTAGTAACTTCCAAATATATATATTTTTAACTATACCATATAAAAGTACATAGGATAAAACGAGATGGGCTCATTTCCATAACTTCAATTTAATCAACAAGCTTATATAACTCACGGACAGATCTTAAATTTATGATTTCTTTGTTGATAGTCAAAATTAAATAAAACTGAAAGTTAAGGGTTAAAAATGTATTTCTTGAATAATTGGAATAATAAAGCATCCATAAAAATATGATCAGTGGCCTTCAACCATTCACTCAATTTCCCCATTTGACTAAATAAAGGTATATTTGAATTTCACCAAATGGATTGTACCAAGACCCGTTAGTGCGTCTTCTCCACCCGAAAAAAAAAAAGATTTTATTTTCTGCCATGTTTTTTTAAATATACTGAAGTTTGATTTTTCTCAAAACGATATCAAATAATTTAATAAAAATCACCATTGTTTATCTCCACCTTTGTCTATCAATAATCCATAAACAATTATTAAAATTTCGCTCCATAACAGAGAGGATAAAACAACTACTAAAAAAAATGTTTCTTATAAATCTTGTCGATTTTGGTACTAGTTGGATGAAATTGAGACAAGTGATTGAACTAAAATACGTTGGGCATGCATATAAATTTATCTCAGAAGCTATATCAATCTTAAATAGAATAATCATACCTTAATTTCAAGAAAACTCCGAAAAAACTTCAACAACTTCCACACCTGATTTCTCCTTCGAATCTCAGTCGTTTCTTGCAATTCTAGTGGGGTTTCCACTCAATTTTTGATTTATATATAATACCTAAGTCCAGAACTGAGGAACCCCTTTCATATGCTCGAATTTACATCCCTAATGAAGATGATGGTTTTTTGCCATTAATCTCCATAATTCTCCACTAATTACCTCATTATTCCTTGAATTAATCATTTTATTATAATGATTTAATCTAATTACATATATGTTTCTATATCTTAAAATTGACTTATCACATGAACAACCACACAAGAGTTGATTGAATTGACAAATTTAGTTAACTAATATTACAAGTATTACTTGATCTGAACTGAACACTAGGAAACTTGTTAGTTAATAAATTGTCCACTGTTTGAATTAAGTTTTTTTGCTAAAGGATTAGTAATAGTAAACATGAACCTAATCATATTAGAAATCGGTAGCCATTGATATATTAATTCATTGCACTTACCATGAAATCAACCATAGGAATAAGTGAATCGAATATGAACAAAAGTCTCTTTGATCATTGAACCTAGTTATCTTTTGTTCTCTTTAGTTGTTAATTGTCTTTGTTTGAGTGTTATTTCGTTTTACACATGTTTTTCTTTTTTGTCTAAGGAAGTTTATGACCCGTGGCTCCAGCTCTACACTAGTGCCACCCGTGGAAGATCTGGAATCGATTATTCGCAAAAAGAAGGAGAAAGCAATTGGATAATCAAGTGGTAAGGATGAGAAGGTGTCAGATTTTGAGTGAGAAACACCCGAATTTGAAGAAGAAGGTGAACCTGAACCAAAAGAAGAAATGGCCGACATCGCTGACATATCTATTGGCGAATAAAAAAGAAGGATGCATGACGATACTGGGCCAGGACTCATGCAACCCCTCGATTATAGCAACTGCTAACTTTGAGCAGAAAGGTCACATACTCGCCCAACTCAGGGATATCCCATTCTATAGGAAATATCACGAAGACGCATACAAGCATATCAATGAGGTCAACGACATAACCGACTACTTCAACATCGCTAATGTGCCTCAGGGGACTGTTTTACTTCGTATGCTACCAGTTACATTTAAGGGAGCTGCAAATGATTGGCTAAAATCACTCCCTCCAGGATCCATCACAACATAGGTTAAGATGTGCGAAGAGTTTATTGATCAATTTTTCCCTCCCTAAAAAATATAAAAGTTGAAAAAATACATTGTAAACTTTGAACAACAAGTAGGCGAGTAACTTTATGAGGCGTGGGAAAGATACAAAGGCTTGTTGAGGAACTGTGCCCACAATGACCTAAACATTCAGCAAGAAGTCTCCATCTTCTATGATGGAGTGAACGTGACAACTAGGAAAGTCCTTGTCTCCCAAGGATAACTCACGAAGAAGGCACCCGTGGTCATAAAGGAACTAATTAAAGAATTCTCTAAGAATTCTTGAGAATATCATAACCCAAGGAATGATTCCACTCGAGGGGCAGTGAGCTCAGTTTATGATAATATGGCGGTAGTGATAACTAAATTGGAGAGCATGGAACTAAGGATGACAAATATGGATCAATCCATCCATGCCATCTGGGTAGGATGCGATAATTGTGGCGAGCCTCACCTTGCTAGAGATTGTGACCTTGAAGAGAACGGGAACCGAAAAGCACAAGTTTGTTATTCGAGTGGTGATAGATTTGATGACGATTAGAGAAAACCGAAAAAGGAGTGGCTACCATACGATGAGTGCAAGAAGGAAAAGGAGGAGAAATATAGGCAAAAGGCAAGAGGTTTCTATCAAAAGGAGGAGCCGATGCAAGAGAAGAAAATGAAATTTGAAGACATGCTCACACGATTTGCAGCTGCATCTGAGAAAAGACACAACGAAACCGATGCGACGATATGAAAACAACAAGAAATAATGAAAGAGCAACAAGCGTTAATGAGAAATTAGCAAGTCTCTATCCTCAACATTGAAAAATAATTAGGGCGGCTTGCAACACAAATCAGTGAGAGAACACCAGGCAAACTTCCTAGCAATACCGAGAAAAATCCAAGAGGTACACACATCAACATCGTGACAACTAGGAGTGGAAAGATAATCACTCTTTTGACCCCAATCCCGAATGAAGATCCTAAAGAGGTGTAGGAGGAAGATAAAGAAAACCCGAAATCGCAAAAAGTCGACACAACTTAATGAGTTCTAGAGAAGAACTCGATGAGTTCTCGGTATGAACAGAACAATAATCCTCCAATCAAACCGTCTCAACCTCCATTGTCATTCCCATGCCGAGCTAGACAAGACAAGAAAAATGAAGACTATGAAAAGTTCGTAGATCATATCAAAACCCTTCAAATTAACATTCTTTCATCGAGGAGTTTGCACAAATGCCTAAGTATGCCAAGTTCTTGAAGGACCTTCTTACAAATAGGAAGAAGATGGAGGAGGTATCCATGGTGGTTCTTAATGAGAATTGTTCATCCGCATTGTTGAACAAATTGGCAAAAAGATGGGTGACCCGGGTAGTTTGACTTTGCCATGCCAATTCGAGAATTTAGCTACTAGTTATGCATTGGATGGTTTGGGGAGACTATCAAGCTTATGCCATATTCATTCTTTAAGAAGTTGAACCTTTTAGAGGCGAGACAGATTCAAATGGCAATTCATCTAGAAAACAAGACTGTGTCATTTCCAAGGTGGATATATGAGGACCTATTGGTGAAAGTTGATAAGTTTGTCTTTCCCGCGGATTTCATAGTGCTAGATATGGAAGAAGACCATCAAGTGCTAATCATTCTGGGAAGATCTTTCCTAAACACCGCAAGGGCCATAGTGGACATAAGAGAATCCAAACTTACCCTTCGGGTGGGAGAAAATTCTGTTACATTTGGAGTTGATCGAGCCATGAAGAACTCTAAGTTTAGTGATGACATGGCCTTCTCGGTGGAAATTTTGGAAGAATTAATGGAAGAATGGAAAGAAGACAAGTTAAGCGAATCCACCGTTTCCTTTGAAGATGACTTTGATGCTAAAAGAGACCTAAAAGAGATAGAAAGATTACTTGAAGAAAGTGAATATGAAGAATTAATAAGAAGTTCTGAAAAGTCAACTCCGCGAGTTGAAGAGATAAACTCGATGAGTTTGGGCGAAAGGTCGTGATCAGACGGGAAAACTGGGCACAACTCAACGAGTTTGGTTTCTGGACTCGACGTGTTTAATGTTCAAAACTC